AAGAGCAGAAATGGGAATCATAACATTCCTACTTTTTTGACCTATGCCCCTTTTTTTGATGTGAAAAAGGAAAGTCGGGGTCCTCCCTGGACTAGTTCCTGTCACTTATCTTTCCTTTTTCCCCATCAAAAAAAAAGGGCTGATCCAGGACTCCACCATCTCCTTTGCTTGGAATTCTGGTTCTGGGTGTTCAAGAAAAAATACCCTCCACTTTTCCAATAGCCACCTCTAAGATCTTGTAGACCTGACAAATTCTTTTGATTTTTTTTCCAGGCTGATTCCATTTTTAGGCCACCAGAACAACTGGCACATGATGGTTGTCTCAGGACATCTGTTTCCATCTGGGAAGGAGCGAAGCTGCAATGCCAGAGGCTTTATACAATCAGAAGATGAGAAGGCTTGCCTCTCAGTGGGCAGGAGAGAGACCTGTCACAGCCAGAACTGGAAGCAACTGGTGAATTGTGACAAGTCAAACTATAAATTCATCTGCACATGTTTATAAAATATTTATCTTCTCTCCCTTGCAGTTCATTTCCACAACATTTTTAAGAGTCAGCTCACAATTTTCTTAAACAAATCCTTCTCCACCCACACATCACAGTCTCAAATAAGTGTATCTTTATATGGACACCATTATGGATACCAGATTTTCTTCAACAAAGTTTAATAGAAAATGAATTTATAAAATATGTAACCAGAGGCTTCAAAATAATTCATACCTACACCAGTCCTAGTACCAGAGTGCTCTGTTTTAACTACACAAACCAGGAATTTTGGTTACAAACCACAGTTGCAAAGCTGCTCCACTGCCAGCTGAAGGCACAATCCCTTCAGCCCGATAAAGCACCTGCACTTATTTCTATTTGGGGGGGATGAGCCACATCACACATTCCTCAGCCTTTAATTCATAAGGCTCCTATCAGTCCCGATGACTTCACTGGGAATTGAGGTTTGTGACCAAATGTCAGAGAGTTAAAGACCTGTGTCAGCTGTGATGGAATCATTCCGAGTTAGGAAAGACAATACTTGACAGTATCTTCTGAAATTCAAGTGGTTTACCAGAGCACGTTGCAGCAGCAGAGCCTTTTAGGGAGCACAGAGTGTGTAACAACCCAAAGTCTTGCAACAGACTACAAAACCAGAGAGTATTTTTAGTTGACAGAGTTACAACAGAGGCTCACAGTCCCTCAAATTCTATTCAAGGTCTAAAGGAAAAGACCCCTACAATGGTCTAAGGCACGAAGCCATGGTGACACACTCTGCCTGCTAGAGCGTCCAAGAGATTTGCAGCCAATTCTGTGAGCTTAAAAAAATAACATCAGCAAAGCTTACAATCATAAACTTATTCTAACCTCCAAGAAACAGAAAGAAAGGCCAAAATATTCACACAGAAATCATAAATGAGAAGATCTGCCTTGCTGTTCATCTGTATCTCTGTCACTCATGCACACTAGAAAGCAGAACTCTGGTCCTAACCACAAGGACACAGCTACCCGGCTGACTCCTGCTGCGTCAGTCACTCTCTGAACATCTCAACAAAAGGCAGCCAAGAGAACACTAAAATATCTGATCACACAAGGGCAGGAATAGTTCTGCAGATCATAACCTGTTCTCCAGTGCATGAGATGATGTGCAATGCTACTGACCTCAGAGGACAACACACTCTAAGAAAGTCAGTCCTCAAAGATCTTCTCAGTTTGAAGGTTTTAAACCATGAAACTCTGCAGTCTCAAAGACCATCACACGCAGACTTCATTATCCTCTATTCTGGAGCAGCCCAAATAAATAAGGGGGTAGTTCCAAACTGTGATATTTCTATTATTCATGGGGAGAGAAACCAACTTCTCAGGTTGTAGGATGTGATTTTTTTTTTTTTTAGTACATAGAGACACTGTATTCCAACTCTTCCTTCAGGTTGTAGGATGTGATTTTTTTTCTTTTTTTTTTAAGTACATAGAGACACTGTATTCCAACTCTTCCTCAAACTCCAGCATATGAACTGCTGATAGTATGGTATTTTCACAGTCATTAATTCACCACAGTCCAATACATTCACAGTCATTAATTCACCACATTCTTCGAAGGTGAAGTCAGGAAGCTACTGCTGTAAGTACAGAACACCTTTCCCTTCCGCTGAATATCATCACTTTGAACACTGTGATGCTTTACCAGCCTTGCAATACTTACAGCTCTGCAGGTTTTCTTCGTAAGAGACATACAGAGAAAAGTACCACCCATAGTAAAACCACAGATGATGATAGTCTAGTAATGATGCTGCAATCTTTATATATATATTCCGTTTTTAAGCAATACAAACTCAAAATAGCTAAAAAATGCAATCTAGGTGAGTGTTAAATATCAAAGAGTATCATCCTCTGCAATTTCAACCACCAATCCCATATCATCAATTCTATATTGCAATGGTTTGGTTTCAAAGAAGTCCTACATAGTGTTTTGAAAGATAACCTCACTGGAAGTAGATTTCCTAGAATATAATCATAAAGAAATTACTTCTGCAGGAAGTAAAATTATACTATGGCACTTTGCTGCCATTTAGAATTGTGTTCAGCCATAAGAATCTAGTTCATTAGCTGTCTTGGAAAGTGTCATTCAAGTAGTTGTTCATTATCACAGGCAGATGGGAAATAATGCAACAAATCCATATTCATTTAAGTTTGTTTGTCAAACATCAAAGACTACAGTTCAGTTTGTTACACTAGTCGTGAATGTGAATGAAGTTGCCTTTTATTCTACAAAAGGCAGCAATTGTCACTTTGAGCACTACAGTCTCATTAGAAAGACAACAACATCTTGAGTGACCAGTGATATCTACTGCAGCATTTTTTTGTCACTATGCACAAGAAAAAACAAGTAACTTTACAACTAAACAGACAGACTAGAAACTGTTCAAACAGAACAGCGGCAGCTTTGTTTCCTTCCAATCCCCTTTCAAAGATGTGCTAAGCAAAACACAGACTGCATCCAAATTCAGAGGTAATACGTCACTTCACGGTGATTCTCCTGTGGATCTATCTTGGCTTCTCACATCCCTCAACTCAAACACAACTACAACGCGTCCCTCCAGCAGAGGGAAGTCTTGGAACGTACTGATGAGAACAGAGACTGCATAGCAAAAGTCTTTGCACTTTCTCCAAATTAAAACAAAGGTATTCACCTTGGTGCCAGAGAAATGGTTCGGTTTTACAGAGCCTTCTGCAATATCTATGTGGGGCTCCAGGAAACTTGAAAGTACGGCAAGTTTCCCACCTCACAACCACATGTAAAAAAATCACTTTTCTGCACCTGCTCAGTCACAGTTCACATGCAGGAAGGCCAGACTGCCCTTTTTTTGCTACCATGGCACTGCAGAGCAACAAACACACCACGATCAGGCTTTTGAAAGCAACACAAAGGAGTAAAGCACTGGGATCCTACTGAATTCCAGCGGATGCTGGACATGCGAATTCTCTGTTAGTGGGGCTGACAGCCTTCCTCTCCTGTCTCAGGCTACACTTGATGAAGTCAAAGGTTTATTCTGAGTAACCCCACACTTGATGACCAAGTTGGAGAATAGCAGCTGTATGCACCCAAGTACAGCACCGAACAGTTCAGTTATCCAGCGCTATTCCCGACAGCACTTCGCTCCCCCGTGTTCTGCCTCGTCAGTGACACCTTTACATATCTGCAGTATTAAGCTGATGGCACGTAACAGCTTTTAGGGATTGAATGATAACTGCCAATTCTGTAAATAACCCAAACTCCCACCGAGATGAACATCCAAGCTGAAGTCCATGCTAAGAATGGGAAAGACAAGGGGATATCAGCTCTTGGATACCTCCCATGAAGTTTTAAGACTAGAAATGGAATGAAATGAGCCTGTTTACAAAACTCCTATTAGGAAACTTGTTTACAAAGTCCTTACAGGTTTGGGCGTTTTCCTTTTCTTCTCTAGAAGAGAAAAGAACTCACTCAGTTCCCTTCATTTATCTTTTTGTCTGTTCTCTATTAAAGGGCTGTAAATAGCAGTACGAGTAACTACAAAAGCAGGATCTCTGTCGAGGGCAATACAATCGGTCACCACACGAGTGTGCTAGCAGACTGAGAGGACAGCTGAGATTTGACCTTGGGACAATCAGAGTGATAACATCTTGCAGTCACCTCTTCTCCATACAACTGGAAGAGTTTTGGTTAGATGTGGGACATTCAGACTTTTAAAAATCACACATATGTGTATGTAGCATTACAAAGGAGTGCACTCTGAAGTGACTACAGTATTATCCTCGTGTATCAAATCTGTTTCCATGCACAAGGCCAAAAAAACCCCAAACAACAACAAAAAAACCCCAAAACAACAAAAACCACCACACCACAAAACCAAAGCACTTGCAGTGGTTCCAAACATGTCCTTCCAATAAGGAAGTATTTCAGTGGTAGCAGCAATGTCAAAATTTTAGGAGAATATCACCCAACAACTTGAAGTGGTAATTTACCCCCAAATTATGCATATTACAGCCAAAAGTGACAACTAAAAGTCAGCTGTGATTCTTCACTGTGTGTTGGCTACAGAAAGAAAATTAAACCCATAATTTTTCAGGCTATGACATGGTTCGATTTGTCTGCGTGATTTTCCGGAAAAGATTTTCTGGAATCTAACCATTTTTCATTAGTAAGGTGAGAAACAAACAAAAAGCATAACGATCTAGACCCATCTTAAGAGTTCAGGATGACAATTCTTCACTTAGAAAGAAAACTGAACAACCTGCACAGTTAATGCTTTGTGTTGGAAGATTTGGCATAGACCAGCGTGGAGAATCCCCGGGAGAAGCGTTCTCTGACAGTTAAACTGCACAGAACGTGCGTCTGCTCCTGCTAGGAAGGCACATACCTTCTTCCACAGCTATTTGCAAAAAGGAGAACAGTACTGACTGGAGTAAGCCAGGCTGCAACTCCCTTATCTCTCCCCTCACCCCTGCCCAAGAACCTCCTCCAAAATCACATACCGCTCCGTTATCCGCCCTTCTGTCCTTATAAAAACTGTGGTGGCTCCTCCGAGTAGAAACCAATGAAAAGTCTGTTCTGTCTGAACTCTGCTTGGTCCATTCTTTCCTAGAAGCCTGAAAATAAAGTTAAATGTGTTGGTATATACACATATGTATATAAATGCCCTTTTGGAAAAACAAACAAACATAACAACAAAAAAAACCCCACACATAAAAATAGAAGTTCAAAGCTGAAAACACAAAATGGAAAAACATTATAGCAATCAACATCCAACTGGCTATGCATTAAGGCACTGATGTGTCACTGTGTTAAGGGAATCACTTGCATTTCAAAGGCAGTATCAGTAGTGAAGCGTTACACACAAATTGGGGCCATCCATCCAGTAAAAAAAATAAAATAAAATAAATTTAAAAAAATTACTTCCTTCAGGGGAGAAAAAAAACAAAACTAAACTAAAAAACACCACAAAAAACCCCTCCAAAAAGATCACTGCTGACAACTTATAAAATAAACCCAAACTACTCATTTCCAAATAATTATAAGTTTGCAGAGTTAACAATTTAACATCCTAGGTTCATAGCATTAATAAAATAATACACCCACATTTAAAGCATTTTCAAGCTCTCCATGGAAACATCAATAAATATTTATACACTAGAAACAAAAATCTTGTCACCTAGTACAATACAAATCCCTCATGAAAATACAACCCAAAGGAAATTAACTCTATTGAAAAGCATGTGTCTGCTCACTTACTGCAAAGTCACAGCTGAGGCTGAAAAGCAGCACAGAAACATAAATAAAGCTTCTCCTCGCTTTCAATTTAGTTACAGGAAAAACTCAGGTACCACTTGGAAATACCTTTTTATCCTCATGGAAGAAAGATTCCGACTGAGAGATCTTGTGTTTCCACCCGTTATCTGCACTTTCCAAGGGGAAGCTTTGCCTGGCTCGGTGCAGGTCCTTTCTCACTCTTACTTCAGGCATAAGCAGTAGGTTGTCTTTTCCTTGGCGGCTCTTTTCTGAATAGGACCGTCGTAAATCTGAGGCAGCGCTTCCTAAGCCAGATGTACAGCTCTTCCAGTCAGTTCTACTTGTCACATTGGAAGAGTCATTCTCCCACATCATCTTATTTGCAGTGTCTTTGTTCCTTGTTAAAGAGCTCCTTGCTACGTTTTTCCTCCAATCACCTTCTGGAGACACCTCCAAGAACTCTTCTCTTGTGACCAGCTTCTTCTGTAAGAGGCCATCATCTGCTTTTATGGACAACTTGGAAGCAAAATTAACTTCCAACCTTTGATCTGTACCAACTGCATTTATAGGTCGTACCTTATCAATTACAAATCTTGGACTTTGATTCTTGGAAGTTAAGTTCACTTCTTCATCCTCATCAATGATGAAAGTTTTCTTCCTAGTGAACTCCACAGGTGAATCCACAAACTTATCTGAAAAAACGCTGCTAGGACTTCCCCAGCAAGGAGGGGTGAACCTTCTGTCTTTGGACTTTTGTTTATCAAATTCAGTGCCACAGGATTCCAGTTTCTCTTTGCTCTTTTCATTTAGAATTAATTTCTCTGGCCTGTGATACTCTTCAGTGTAGTCACCTTGTTTGTTATTAACAGAATAGTGATCTGATCCCTTCCACTCTTTCCAGCTATAGGAAGAAGCTGTCCTATCTGACACATTCCTTTTGTTCTTTGATTTCTCCCTATTAAATAAACTGTGATCTTCTTGAATGTTACTGACCTTCACTGATTCTTCTTTATACTCTGCCATAAGGGCATCAATATCCAGAATTTGGGATCTGTAACCATCCTCAGCCTTCTTTCCAGATAAATCATAATTATTTTCACCCCTTCTCTGGGGCACTAGCTCACTGTCTTTATGTGAACGCAGGGGGGATCTGGGTTCATGGTAAGAGGAGACTTTTCTTCTGCTACTTTTGAGATCAGTTTGAGCTGTATTTTCCAGACCCTGTTTTAACATGAAAGCATCAACATCTATAATTTTCTCTTTAGAGTGATCCACATCTCTTTCATGATACTGTTGGTTATCTTTCCTAGATACATGAAAACTCCCAAATGCATTGTTTTTGGAAAAACTATAATCTCTGTCTTCCTCTTTGACCCAATCCTTGTTAACATGCACTTCCCGTGACTCTTCTCTATGATTTGTACTCGTCAAATTTTTATTTGGCTGCTGCAATAAAGGTTTGGAACTTCCAGGAAAACCAGGGTCCAGACTAATTGTTGCTCCCTCACTTGAGCTAGAAATTATCGTGGTTTCAGTTGCACTAGGAGTATCAAAGCAGCTTTTCTCTTTCTTGTTACCAGGAATCTGATAAGTCACTGCAAAGTAAGTTGCTTTTGGTTCAGAGGCAGAACTCTGGTTTTTCAGGTAATCATCAACACCACCAAGAACAGCCTGGTTTGCCTCATTCCCTTCCATCCCTTCTTTGCTTTTTTTGCTTCTCTTTTTAACTGAACCTTCATCCAATTGCATTGAGTCTGCCCGACTCAGCCTCTTGGTATTCTCAGGAGTGAGCCAGACGACTTCTTCTGTCTTGACAGAATCCTGAGGCAAGGTTCTCCTTCTCCACCTTTCAGAAATCTTCAAGTCAGAAACACTACTTCTGGTTCTCCTGACTTTTTCTTCTGGATCTATTACTCTGGTTTTTTCGCTGTTTTCATGAGCTGTCCTATCTAAGCTAAAGCCTTGTTCTTTGCAATTTAAGTCTAGACTTTTCCTTAAGCCAAAGGCCCTCGATTCCTCTTTAATGGGTAGTGCTTTCATGTCAGGATGGTGGGTACTGGAAGATTTACAAAATTGCCCACTTGAAAATGCTGAAGAAGACTGGGCCTCATGCTTATTTACACTTGTTGAAATAACTTCATGATCAAAGTTGGTTCTGAATTCATAGTTGTCTGTCCCGCCTGGTCTAAAACTCCTTTTCTCAGAGGAGCATTTCATCATATTAGACCTCTCTGTTTTGTTCATGGAAGAGACTTCACTCTTATCACTTTTAATTTCTGAATGGAGTTGGTTTACTTTTTCATTCACCCCCAAATATTTACTTTTGTTTGTAGAATAAGGTATTTTCTCAGCTATTAATGTCGGATCAGTTCCAGTTTTCTCAGAATCTTTTTTCTGTTCAGGTAAAGTGCATTCACTGGAGAAAAAATTGTTAGATTCTCTCAACAAAGACTTGCTCATAAAACCTTTTGTGTCTCTAGCTTCTGAAATTACGTCATCTTCTTTCAAGTAGAGAGCTTTACTATTTGTGCTAGCCAACTGACCAGTGTGTAAAACATCCTCATCATTTCTCTTCTCTTTCACAGATGATTTTCTAGTTCTGAGTGTCAGGGCCTTTTTTTCAGGAGCCATGGTAATGGCTTCACTAAGAGCTCTTTCACCACATGTCTGAAAGATTTCATATCTCGGCTCTATTCTTTGGTGAATTAGAGAGTCCTCTGCATTTTTAGGAGTGGGTTTTTCACTCTTCTCAACCAAAGATTTTTCCAAGAAAATTCCTGGAGTCACTTTCTTGTCTTCACTTGAAGCTGGATTTCCACTTTTCTCTACATCTGTTATATGTTTCAATGAGTCAGACTGCTTGTGATACTCCTTCTTTATACTAGTGGTTTCCTCCACTTCTCCCATCCATGATGGTCTATTGTGCCCCAAAGTCACCACATCATGTTTTGCCTCAAGCTCATTATTTGTTTTCAGTGCAGAATCAATCCCAGGATGATCAGCAGCGACGTTATGCCTCTGAACTTTGTGGTCAAACATGGTGGCTCTAACAGTTTTAATGTAGGCCTTTTCCATAAGTGTGGTTGGTTTTAATTTTTTTTCCAAGTTGGTTGTGAATGAGACAGAATTTTCACTTTGCTGAGAAAAATGCTGATCATCCCCAAGGAAACTTCCTCTTCTCTCGATCTCATCAGGTTTATTTGGTATTTTCAAAATCTGCCGGGGTTTCCAAGGGTTCCCAGTAGCATGTGCTTCAGTGAAATCTGTGCCATGGACAAGCTTGATCTCCTTACTCTGCAACAAGAAAAGCCAACAGTTAGGACAGTTTATTTAAAAGATGTGTAACAAAGTTTATTTAAAACTTACTTGCACCTACTCTGTGTGACACAGCTTGCACAACTGAAACACATCCATGCTCCACTGAGGCAAGGTTAATGTCAGCAAGTGTGTGCCTCCAGCCCCTGAATCTTGATTATAACACAATTATTTCATAACTTGATTTTTACTTTTAATACAAGAAAGGAAAAAAATGTATGAAGTGCTGATACATAAGATATGCACAATTCTGTGAGTTCCCGAGTTCAAATTTCACAAGACATTTTAATCTGCAGTGAATTATCCCCACATCACATTCCTGAGATGGCAACACATGCAAAAATAGTACCAAACTCTGGAAGGTCCATAACCCCAGCTACCATAGAAACACTTATGAACATTTTAGTGCAAGCCCTACAGAAACTGAAGTTCAAAAGCAAAGCACAGAACAGCACCACAAGGTTGCAACCACCTTCAGAGGGAACCTGAACTCTTGAGAGACACCAAATATATTGCATTTTGTCAAAACTGTCCTTTCAAATATAACCAAACTAAATAGTTTGGTTCACTAACTAACTAGATACATGGTCAATAAATGCAAGGAACATGAAGATCTGAGTAAATACCACAGCTGGGGCTGCTCAGCTAGGAAGAATGCTAAGGCTGAGCTGAAGTAAAAAGAGAAAGCACAAATTAATATTTATTGCCTATTCTTTACTATTATCTACTTGCAGAAAATACAACTAGTATCCTAAGGCTGAGCTCAAGTAAAAAGAGAAAGCACAAATTAATAGTAAAGAATAGGCAATAAATATTATCTACTTGCAGAAAATACAACTAGTATCCTGAAAGCTGTTATTTTTAATAACATGAGTTGGCATGCAAAAAAAGGGAAAAAAAAAGCAGAATCAAAAAATACTCCCTGGTCCTACAAGAATTCAAACAGTATTTCCATTAATGGAAGATTTTCTGTTTATAACAAGGTGATCTTATTTAAAATTAAATTATCCTATAGAAACTTTGTATCTAGCTGCTAGTTTCCTTCCCATATATGCCTGTCTTAACCCTAGACAGAAAGAAGGCACAGCCATGAGAACTCACTAGAAATACCCTTAAAACTACATTAAATCTCCCACACTAAGAAGTGTCAGCAGAGAAGTCATGTTTTGCAACACCAAAGTGTTGCTTAGAAACAAAGACAGACTAAAAGCTTCTACAGCAAATCAGAGCTTTCTTTATAATTCTTTATTGTCAAAACTTCCAAGTTAAATGTTATTTAGGAGATTGATATGAAACATACAGCATGTTTTTAATAAGAAGTTGTGACTTGGATGTAGAAATGCACTACGGTAATGCTATGGCTGGAGAAAATAAAGGATAATCACTGCTCAAAACCACCCTAGCCATGGGGGATTCACTAGGGGTTTTCATGCATTAAAAGTCCCATTAAAATAGTATATAAAATATTTCTCACTCTATACCACTGCGTGTATTCAACAGCAGGCATATTTAACTCCTGAAAAACCCAACAGACATGATCCTCCCATACTTTATCAGTGTGTTCTAAAGATAGACTGACACAAGTGTCATTAGGATTATGTCATTCTTAATACTCTCAATACCCATCTTAAAGGTACTGATTGATTAAGACACACACACAGGACAGTGCTCCCTGCATTCTAAATGCAAACATAGGTGGAGACCACAGCAGCTGCTGCATTTTCTTACTTTGGTATTTTCTTGCATTTCATTGACAGAGTCATTTCTAGTTTCAGCAGGTTTCTCAGGCTTTGCTTCACAGGTTGATGTTGGACTTGAAAACCTAGGACAAAAGACTTCCTGTTACTTCCTTTAGTGAGCAGATACACTTCCTACAAAAGCAGACTGGTAGAAAGTATCCAACAAATTTTATTTCTTAAAGGAGAAACATCACTATTTCACAGTAAGTAACTGTATTTGGTGGTTTAATTGTATCTGGACCAAAGGACTGTTGTTTCCTGAAAAATGGTTAGTTAGGCAGGTTATCGTTATCGTATCAGACTTCAGAGGTACCTAATGAGGCATAGTGAAAGAGGCACTAACGCTCAGGAACAGGAGTATAAAGAATAATTACATTTCGTGGAACCAAAATGATCAGTTATCTTACTGCACTGAGAGAGCAGGTTTTACTGAATGAGAAGAAGTTAAGAGGATTAAACAGAACTTCTCTGCAACCTACATCTTTGTTAAGTCCGCAGAAAGTGGTCGTGATTGAAGTGACCTGCGTGGATTTCCTGGCTTAACATCAATATTTTCTGTTGTCAGTTCTTTGATTCTCTGCTGGATGTTCACACATCTGTTTTCCTTCTCAGCAGTTGACTGGAGAAGCTCTGTATCCACGGAGGGACTGGGATTTTCTGAAGTAAACAAACTGATGTGTTTTTTAACACTACCTCTTATGATACTGTTCTCTTTTTCTGAGGAAGCTGCAGGGCTTTCACAGCCTAGAAATGTTTGTGTTTCCTTTTGATCGGGTCTTTTCCCCTCCTTATTAGTTCTGCTTTCACTAGTGGTCTCATGGCTTCTTTCAGAACCATGCAAGTTAGCCATTATTTCTGGTTTTGTCTCAATTTGTTCACTTTTAGATTTAAGCTTTGTTTCCCGTAGGTATTTTCCATTATTTAGGATGCCAATGTCCTGACTACTGCACTTCAAATTTGTTTTAGAAGAACTGCCTTTATTAAATTCAGTTTCTTCAGGTTTTGGCCCCACTTCAGACTTATCATGACAGCCCCCCTCAGTGAGAGAAATTATTGATACATTCTCCTTGCTTTCGTGAGACGAACAAGTCTTCTTGCAAGAAGAAAGGTCCTTATGTTCAAACTTAGCTGTCAGGTCCATGGACAGAGGCCTTGGTTTTCTAACCTTCTCTGTAGGAGATTTTTCCTCAGAAGCTTCCACAGTGCGATGCTTTTGATCTCGTAATGATTCCAGAAAAATAGCAGAGACTGGTCTATGTTTTGGTCTTTGCTGCACATCAATAGAGAAATCAACTTTACTGTTGATATTATTTGCATCATCATTGTCTTTCTCCCCTGGATGAACTTCATAAGCATCTTTTTTATCACCAGTTTTGAGGGAGTTCCAAGAGATTGGTCTAACACTGGAGGAAAGTGATATCTGCCTACGAAGAGACCCTTCAGGATTCCTGGATGTCTCAGATGGTTTTTCCAGCTTCGCATTGCACTGAAGCTCTTTTGTTTGCAGGGTACTAAACACTCTGTGGTCATCAGCAGCCTTTTTTTCCTGGGCCAGGCTTACCTTTGACTGCTCTGTGCCTGCTGTCTCAAAAAGAATTACAGTATTCGTGCTGGGACCAGTGTAGAAAGTCATGTTTGTGACTACTTCACTGCCAGCCTTAGTTTCATTTTCAATTGCTTTCTGATCTACTAACGGAGGAACATTTCCACTTAATACCTTAACAGATGATGTTTCTTCAGTGACCTTTCTAATAAAACTACTGGATCTCAAAGATGGAACAGGTGGTTTCACATTTGCAAAAGTATCTGAAGTTTTATCTTTAGAAAAAGGCTTTGGGAAAAGTCTTGGCCTTGATCCTAGTGATGGCATTGTTGCAGATTTCCAAGTACTCCCAAACTTGTTCTTCTCTTCGAGAGTTAGTGACGCTGAAGCCTCCTTTGTCTTGTTACTGGCATCTGAAAGCACACTCACATACACACGCTGTGATTTATCCTCATTTCTGATTTCATTTAAGTCAGGTACTGTCGTCAAAGAGGCCAAAGTAGAATTTATTTCTACTCTTGTTGCCATAGTTGTAATTACACATTCAACAGAATTGAAAAAATCCAACAAGGAAAAAGAATCTGCAGAAAAAAGAAAGAAAATGTAAGTATTGATGTAGAGTCAGCAAGAACATCAAATAACATCATTCTAATTTAAATTCATAAGGTAGCTAAACTCAGAGTAAGGTGCCTTTCAGATAAGCTGTTTACAGAGTGTATCACATAATGAAAGACACACTGTTCCTCCTCCTCTAAAAAACAGGAAGAAACATCATTATTCATTGATTAGGCCTAACCACCAAGGAATCCATCACAAAACCTATGGAGCACCTGCACAGCACTGACTTCCCATTAGTCAAGTGAGCTTCAAGGGTTGAGATACTTAAATAAATTAATTTCTCTTTTGAAGCAGACATCTCAATGTTGACATACAAACATCAACTCCTCTTTCCAATATAAATAGCTGGCTAGATGCATTCATATGCTCTTTCAAACTAACAAAAATATTGAGCCTGGTGTGACTGACAGTGTTATTTGTCATCTCTTAGCTAAGACCTACAATCAAACAGTGTAAATAAATGCACACTCTACAAATCTCCAAAAGCTTTGCTGCCACTTACCATAATCTTCATTTTCTGCTGCAACCAATCTGTACAACCTGATTCTCTTCTCATAGTGAAAACAAGATCCCGGTCACCAAGATCACATTAAGAACTGTGATCACTTCAGCAGCACTGATCAGACCTCTCCTGCAGATAAACAAAGAGCATTCACAGTGAAGTGTGGCACACACCAGATCCACACAGGTAATACCACACGAGACAAAAATCCTGAGCATTTCACTTAAAAAAACCAAAGCCAAACCACAAAACAAAAAAAAAAAAACCCAAAACCCACCACTGGCTCCCATTTTGAAGTACAAAACCACTCGATTTAACTGTATAAAGCCAGAGAATGTTTATTTGTCAGTTATTAAAGAATCAACAAGAGATTATCACCTAAAGCCTGAAAGGTGAAATTGAAAAGTGAAGGGTAAATAGTTTGGGCTGCACAACAGACAGGCCAAATTTGAATGCAGTTAAAACCACATTCCAGTGGGTTTCCAGATTCGGGTGTTGTCAGTCACTGTTGAACACTGAGCTCTGCATCACTCTCACCTCAATTACTGTAATTTACTCGCTATTGGAAATCTCCTTTCTGCAACAACAGCATGTGAGGTGCTACCTGAGAAGCTGACCTTCAAACGGCTGATTTTCAATGAAAATATGACTTTTACCATGACAAAGCAGTTTTTCCAGTATCTCTCCAACAAAGGCAGTTTAGCTTTGGCTTTAATTATATTCTTACTGCAGAGATGAGGGGAAACCGGCAGTAATTAGAATTTTAGCAACAAGAAGTAACTTGAATTTTTCCTAATAAAAAGTATATTTAAACTTGGTAGCAGAGACAGGTGGCTATGTAAGCTTAGATAGTCTTTTTTTTCCCCTCCCCTCCCTTTAAAAGCTATCATACTCTTGATTTTTAAGAAATCTATACTGCATTTCATAGTCTTTCACTCAGAGGCTCATTTTTGTGTTGCCACCCTCTTGTCTACTCTCAGGCAGCCTTTGAAGGGGTAGTTTTTGGACTCCTCTCACCTGATATATTTTGGTGTGTGGGTGTTTACCCTACAGATATCCCTATTTGTAGATTCGGTAGAATATGGAGCCTCCTGCATGTTAATATTTAAAAACAAAAAGGAAAAAACCAAAAACAAAACCACAGAATATTGTCTTACTGAATCTGCAGTCCAAAAAAAATGGTTAATTCACCTTCAGCTTCCCTTGAATCGACTAACACCACACTGGCACCATGAATTGCAGAGATTTATTTTTGTCCCTTCCTCACTCAGTCAGGCTAACGAGCTCTCTTCCCCTTGCCCATTCTCTTTCATCTTTCAATCCACTTGAAATTCTGTCTCAACTCCTTACACGCTACACTTGTCCCCTTCGAGTCCACGACCTCTCTTTGCCAAAACAGTCACTAACCCAATCAGCTTATCAGAATCTATCTGTCCCTTCCACAGTCTCACAGATCTTAATGAAGTCTTCCTCCCTCTCCCACTCCTTATTCTAGGAAACACCACCAAAATCCGATTAAAATGCTCTCGCATTCCAAAGATGCAAAGTTTTTGTTAGGAGTGGTTATATTGTAAAAGTAAAATAGTAACATTTGCTGCAATAAGGGCGATGCTAACAGGAAATAACACAAAGCACAAAATTAAGCTGTAAAAACAGCATCTGCCTCGCAGTACTCGCTTGCTTCTACCGCTCTGTAGCTCTTTTCCTTTGGGAAAGAAGAAGGGGACACAGAGCTTCTTAAATGGAATAAAACTTGATCCTCAGTGGAACGCGAGGCGGTGAGAATACAACGCGGGACATAATCCTGGCTAACAGCGTACAACTCATTCCTCCAAACAACATTCCTGGACCACAATTTACCCCTTCTAATGATATTTGTTCCTTAGTTTTATGGGACGACACTTCAGCTGTACAGGACCCCATTTTTTTTTCCACACGATCTCACAAAGCCAGTTTGCAGGTTTTAAACCCTTCTCGCTCAGATACCCTACAACAGATACGTGGCCCAAAACAGACAACTACTCAAAAAAAGGAGAAGAAAATATGTGGGGGAAAAAAAACATCACCCAATTTTGGAAATTATAAAGCTCCTGGAACTTCAAAAAGCTGTAATGTGATAAAGAGGAATCGTGTTATCAATGCCACGTATAACACACTAGACACTGTGTCTCAGATTTGAAATGCACACCTTGGTTTAGACAAACGTGCTTCTCTAATAAAATCCGATCTAGTCAGGTTGGTAATGTACAAAGTTTTGGGCAACTTTTAAAAGTCAACTGTAAACTAAATGACATGAGAATTTTAGACACTGTTAATGTTTAGTGTTACTACTGCAACTGTACTATGACAACTGTAAATCTACAGTAAGTTCCTCCCTCCCTCTGACCTGCCTCTGCTCAGGGACAGTCGGCCACTTTGCACGTGCTGCTGTGGCCACCGAGCTGGCTCCACTGCCACTGTCCTCTGCGTGTCCCCGCTCTGCTGAGCGCCGCGCTGTCACCCCTCCTGGGCACGACGGCTCTTCGTGCTCCCTACGCTTCGGTCACGCTCCTCACAGCTGTTCTGGGTGCACAAAATAAAGTACAAACAGCACTGAAATCTCTTTTGAAAAATCTTCCTGCTCTTAATGACAGGAACAGCACATGACAGCCTGTCCCTGTCCTCGCTGCTCTCCTTCCTCACCTGCAAAAACCGCGGCTGGGACTTTTCCTGGGCCAAGCTGAAGCACTGCAGGGTCACAGAGATGCACACGCAAACACCGCTCAAACTCAGCCGTAAAATCTTAATGTCTCGAGGTGTTGTTTGGATTTTTAATTAAACCATTTATCTTTACAAAGAATACCAGCATCCCTCATTAGAAATCAAAACAGATTATTCACTTCACAGTGTTATTTTTGCAAAGTTCATATGGGAAGAGCTTTACCCCAAACACACCCTGTATGTTCAGCGTTTGCTTGCCCTGCCTTGCCCACCAGCACACACAGAACCAGTATTTACATCAGTGGTAATTCCTTTAAGCCTATTAGGACAACAGGAGCAGCAGCCTGCAGATAATTTTTCCACCATGAATCACGTGATTATTGCCAACTTCCTTGTTCATAAATAAGAATGTTTTAAATGACACAAAGCAAAATAATCTATAACCCATCCCTGAACCTGGCAGCAGATAAACAAGCCCATCTGTTTTTGTAAGGATGGAAAGCATAAAAATTCTGCAGAGAAAAATCTATTAAAAAAACCAAAACAAACAACACAACAAAAATCCAGTTTATGAAATTGAAAACAACCAGAAATCAGGGCTCCACCGGTGAATATCTGCCTCTGTTTACACTAAGAATACTCCAGTAGAAAAATACCAAATAAATACAAGGTTTTCCTTTATTAGACACAAGCTTACCAGCAAATCTGCTACCAGTATAAAAAATTACTCCCTTAGCATGTAAATACAGGAAGATATTTGTATAATTACATATATTAGCAGCTTCTGAAAACACAGCTCTGCCAATGACTATACATTCACCTGGCCTGCAGGTTTTTACTGGTACAACGAGCCACAGGAGCTGCTGAACACAAACACAGTGACCATATACACTGCGCAGACAAAACAAGACAAGAGGCATTTTATTCCTTTTACAAAAGGTTTCCTCACTGTCCTAAATGTTTCAGTCTTTAAATAAAAAGGTTTGGTTGTTTTTTTTTCTTCCTCTCCTCACTGCAGGAATTCACATCAGTCACCCTCAGCAACCATCCTTCTGCTGCTTCCTGCAGCACCTGGAGAGCTGCTGACAGGATCTGCTCATCCTCATTTAATCCAATCACTTCCTGTGCACCTACGAAGTAAAGACTAACTTAACCACGTGGGTGAACACTGTCAAGAACATAAGACTTACTATAGAACAATCAAAATAACACAAAGAGGGAAAAAAACTTTTCTGAAACTTTCATAACTAAGTAGATCAAGCAACTAATTCAATAAAAGATGGCTTTTTCTACTCTTGGATTGAAGTCTGATTCACATTATTAGTACTGTCATTCACTAAAATAGGATCTATCAGTTGTATTAAGAGACCCACACAGGGTGTCTTAAAGAGAAAGATTAACAAAAATACTGTCATACTGGCTCTAATTTTTAAAAATATGCCTGGACAAATTCATTCACAAAATAAGAACACGTAATAAAATGCATTTAAATTCTCTTTCCCCAGATTCACAGTGAGAAGTTCAGTAGAACAAGGCATTTGTTCTACTTCTCAGTAATCAAAATTAACATGTTGAAAACTACAAATACATATTCCAAATCTCACAAGACATATCTTATGACCTGCAAAGCCCCACAGATTTTTAATACTAATTTTCCAAAGCATTGCAAAATTTAAACGTTCTTTCTCCATTCCTCATGTGCAAACTT